TCTGTCGTTACTTTGTTTCAACATTAAGTTCAACGCTGTGCCGTAAGTGGCAGTGGTGGATCGTTCTGTTGTTACTTTGTTTCAACATTAAGTCCAAGGTTGTAGGTGACATTTCCTTTATAATTCTTACAAAACATGCGGTAGGACTACAACCGAGTAGGTACGGTAGTCTTTGAGGAAGATGGCTGATGCCCACCTTTACGCCCACTGGGCCAAAAATCGAAAGTAGTACACTTATACGCCCATGGGCGAAAAATAAGAGGTAAAATAACAGATGAAATTACCCCTTCTTTCAGTTATACGCCCAGGGCTTATATGCGAGAAAATCCGGTAACAGAGCTGTCAAGTGTCCTGCGAATGGCGGGATTATCCCGCGAATTCGATCAAAATTAGGCTAATTTGCGTGTCCCGCAATGTCCCGCGAAGTCCCGCAAATGTGGCTTTCGACCTCCACGAATTTCCGAAATTGCTGAAATCCCCTATATTGTGATTATCTTATCTTTTATAAGAAGCTAAGTTTTTGCACTTTTGAGGAGTAAAGTTTACCTAATTTTAAGTACCTAGCATGCTGTTGTTTGGTATCAAAATAAAGGGGAAAGGTTCAACTTTCATTTTAATTACGAAAATAGGAATGTAGGTCACAAATAGTTCCACGCTGATATCTAGAAAGGGTTTGTAGAAAAACATGGGTACCGGGTAGTAAATCCTCCATGCTGGGTTCAAACTCGGTACCCGTTACCCGGTCAAAAAAACGGGAACCCAAAAAACGAAAAATACGAATATATAACATAATAGATTATGAGAAAACGTGTAAGATTTGTTTTGAATTTACAAAAAAGTATGTAACATCCTTCAAGATTGAGCTAGAAGCTTCAAATAAAAAGCATATTTTAAGGCTCTTTTCTTCCTCTATCGTCATGGCCATATTTTCATTGGTTATGGGGGGGGGGGTGCGATCGCACCATCGCACCCTCTCCTGGCTACGCCTATGACATTGTAAGACATAGCAATTTACAATTCAGGGGACATTTTGTCGAAAATTGGGATAACTTAAATTATGATTAATAATCAAAATCTTACAATGTCATTGGCGTAGCCAAGAGGGGGTGCGATTGCACCCCCCCCCCTTCATTACCAATGGAAATATGACCATGATGATAGAGGAAGAAAAGAGCCTTAAAATGCTTTTCATTTGAAGCTTCTAGCTCAATTTTTAAGGAAGTTACTTACATTTTTGTAAATTCAAAACAAATCTTACACGTTTTCGAATGATCTAATTATGTTGTATTCGTATATTTCGTTTTTTGGGTACCCGTTTTTTTCAACCGGGTACCAAATTTGAACCCAGCATGGAGGATTTACTACCCGGTACCCGGTTTTTCTACAAACCCTATCTAGAAAAGTAACGTCCTCATTTCCTATAATTTGATGTAGATTAATCGAACCCCTATATCAATTGAAAGCCCATGCCTACAGTATATGAATAGGTACATTTTAATATACAACATTATGGGGTAAGCGTTTCATAGTTGGTCACGACGCCAGAAGTGCAAAGTATTGTTCCGAATTTTTGAATTTCGTGTTAGATTACGGTACTCACATCTGAAGCATGGTTCTTGTTTTTGATAAATTACAATGAAGTATAATAATATTCCTATGCGTATTTTGTGAAATTGTGTTGACGTTTATTTAAAGTACAATGTAACGGTGCATTATATTTGATTAATCAGTATCTGAAAGTTTGATTTAAGTACTTTTACACGTTTTTACAGTCCCAATCACGCAAATCCCTTGAATGTCCCGGTACATCCTGCAAATTAAGGTGGATGTCCCGCGAAATCCCGCAAATTTAGGGCACTTTGTCTAAAAAATCTGTCCCTCTATGAAGTTTTTGGTGGTACCCCTGTTAACTGTCCCGCAATTAGGGTGTTTGTCCCTCGAATGGTCCCGCGAAATCCCGCGAATTTGATAAAAAAAATTGGCCTATTAGCACAATCACG